AAATCAATTGTTTCCATATCCAATAGAGGGTCTTGAACAAGTTTCCGTAGAGTAAGGCTAGTTTTTATATTCCTATTTTACCTAGTGTGTGAGTCAGAAAACATAACAACGTGTTTGAATATCCTGGCATGTTCATACAAATATTTCCTATAAATGAAACTAGATCTTTAGAACTCCTTCCACCATTAGTCTCATCGCAGACGTGCATATAGGCAGTGTTGTTATTAAAACAATGAGTGCCAAATTTCTCTTATAGTAGCCTATTGGAGTTGTAAGTTTGGGAAAAGGCAATGCCTTTTGAAGGTCAAATGTTCAAACATATTTATCCTGCAAAGTAGGTCTTACAAACCCTCAGCTGATTATTATGTTCATCTGGAATAACGTATTGATACATCTTCAGATGAAATATCCATCTCATAATACAACTAACCAACACAAATAATGTGTAATAAACTTTCAAAGGACCATTTTGAAGAATTGCTTAGCGGCAATCACGAAGATGGCGAGACTGAGGATCCCATGTTTCAAATGAATGAAGATGATCGGCAACCACCCCCCACCGAAGAAGAAATTAGAGAAGCCATCGCAACACTGAAAAATAGTAAAGCTCCCGGTTCGGATAATCTCCCTGCCGAAATTTTCAAAAATGGCTGCGACCCCCTCATGAAACACATGCATAAACTGATAACTGCAATTTGGCAACAGAAAGAAACACCCACAGACTGGAAGTTAGGTGTACTGTGCCCTATACACAAAAAAGGAGACATGATGGTGTGTGATAATTATAGAGGCATCACTCTACTCAATATGGCATATAAAGTGTTGTCCAACGTATTGTACAAAAGACTCCTTCCCTACGCCGAACAACTAGTGGGGGGATATCAGTGCGGTTTCCGTCCTAATAAATCAACAACGGACCAGATATTTACAGTGAGGCAGATGCTTGAAAAACCCTAGAGTTCGGCGTCGACACCCACCACATTGTTGACTTCAAAGCCGCATACGACTCCGTTAATAGAAATAAACTTCTACTATAAGACAGGGTGATGGACTATCGTGTGTCTTATTTAACCTGGCATTAGAAAAAATAACTCGAGAGTCGCAGATTACTACGAATGGTACTATCTTTAACAAATCAGTACAAATTGTCGGATACGCAGATGACATAGACATCATAGGTAGGTCCACAGAATCTCTGACTGAAGCATTTCGGTCGTTAAGAGCATCTGCACACAGAATGGGACTAAATATAAATGTTCAAAAGACCAAATATATGTGTTGCACTAGGTCAAGCAACCCGACACCTACACGAATAATAATTGATGACCTAGAACTGGAAGGTGTTGACACCTTCATATACTTGGGGCGCTGCTAACCAAAGATAACAACGTCAGTGAAGAAATCAAAAGAAGAATAGTGCTCGCCAATAAGTGTTACTATGGCTTAAGAAGACAGATGGCCTCAAAAATGCCTAGAAAAATTAAACTGACTGTACACAAAACACTAATAAGACCAGCGCTGACATATGGTTCACAAACTTGAACACTGACACAGAATGACCAAGAATTGCTCAAACGTTTTGAGCGAAAAATACTAAGACGAATATATGGAGGCATAAAAGAACAAGGTTTGTGGCGCAGGTGTTACAATTTTGAGTTGTATAGAAGATTTGGAGAATCTGACGTTGTAAAATTCATTAAGGTAGCACGCCTCAGATGGATAGGTCATGTAATCAGACGAGAGGAAGATGCCATAGTCAGAAAAGTTTTTGACCGAAGAGGGCCGATCGGACAACGAAGAAGAGGAAGACCGAGACATAGGTACCAAGACAACCTAGAAAATGATTTGAAGTCTATCGAAATTAGAGCATGGAGAAAAGTTGCCAGAGACAGGGGCGAATGGAGGATTGTTCTGAAGAAGGCTTTGGCTCATAAAGAGCTGTAACGCCACTGATGATGATGAAACTGTCAAAGGCTGTAACTAAAAGGTTACACGTCAGAGGTCACGTCAATACAGAACTGTACACAGTAAACAAACACTAACTGGACTTGGTTCGGCAGTATTCAACAGAAACTAACAATCTGTCAGTAAACATTAGATCTTGCTGCTGCCTAGTGAATATTATTAGAACTGGGACTTGGTTCATTATTACACTAAAAATTTACCTAGTTGGTGCATGTTGTTAACTCGTAAATGACAACAAGTGGACTTGGTATACTTCTATTCTGAACCCTCCATATAATAATATACATATTATCACTTGTCAAACCAATGTCGTTGCGTCCTAATTCTATTTTACCTCATCTTTGATACCTCACGTTTTAACAGCCGGCAACTCTAATTTTTGACCTCAGGTAACTTTATATCATAATAATAAAGAAAATTTGCTTTAATTTGCTATAAAAAACATACATATACATTATGAGCAGCGTATTTTATTTAAAAAATAAATGAACGAAATCCAATTACTATTAATTGAAACAAACATATTTGTGACCACTTGTTCACTGGCAACCTATTTATCAATGTATTTTTCTGATTTTAAATATATGTAAAAATTTGAGTTTGATGAATTACGTTATGTACGTAGGGATCTTGCAGTAGGATCTTGTACTATGACATATGAAAGGTAAATATTATGAAACCCATATGCTCAAAGTTCAAAACATTTTAATGTGCTATTAAAAAAATGTGCATTCAAAAATAAAAAGAATTTCTTAAAAACACCATTGACTTATCAGGTCCGCAATGTGGAGGTTCTGCCAAAGATTCAAAAAAGGAAGAGTTAATTACACAAAAAAAAGAGAGAAACTTTATACCCATGGAGATGGTACCCTAAGAATAATTTACAAACAAAACCTAATTGGTTTTGGAAGACAGAATTGTAATATAAAGTATAAATACATAGTTGATGCCAAGAAAATTTAAAAGCTTACACTGAACGAACTTACTAACACTCTCTTTAAGCTCCCGCACCGTAGACTCTATACCTAGAAATACCAGCAGACTCACCTGGTAAAATAATCAGAAATCAAATAGAATATATCGCTGCACCAATCAGGTTTAGAAACTCCATCAAAGCCGTAAAAACTTACCCGGGTGCGAACGTAGCATCAGACCACAATCCGGTGGTATGTAAGTTTGAAGTAAAGTTAAAAAAGCCAAATGTAAAGAACAGGCCCGAAACGCTAGATATTAGGAAGCTTTCCAACAATAATATTAAACAACAGATGCAGGAGAATTTAAATACCGAAATATCAAAAATCCTTAAAAATAACAATGAATCGCTGGAAAAGTGGAGTGAAATTAAAGAAGAGATTAGGACTTCAAGCACTAAGTTTTTACTACCTGATAAGAGAAAAAAGAAAGACTGGATGACTGCAGAAATCCTTGACATGACGGAAGAGAGACGGATATATAAAACTAAAGATACTGCCATATACCGTGAAACCCATAAACGAATAAGAGCTGAGATAAGAAAAACTAAAGGGAAATGGTTCTCGGAGAGATGCGAAGAAATCGAACAGTGCGAAAAGGTATACGACTATCACAATAAGCATTAGAAGATACAGGAACTCACAACAAAGAAAAGCTACAATATTTTATCGAAAGATTTAGTTAGAATCTGGGAAACTTATGTGTAACAACTGTTTAATGACGACCGTCCTAGTGGGTATACACTGAACAATGATGATACTGGCCCTTCTATTCTAAAATCAGAAGTGGAGAATGCTATAAAGGGTCTTAAAAATAACAAAGACCAGGCAACGATAACGTATACGGGGAAGTATTGAAAATGCTGTGCGAAACAAACAGTCAATTTCTAGACTCACTCCTCAGACTCTTTAACAATATTTATAACAGCGGTGAGTTTCCTGAAGATTGGCTAGAGCCAACGTTTGTTGACTCACCTCAAAAGCCTCACCCCACCTCTCAAAATTTGACTTCTGAAATTTTATGTATTCCTGGTTTTGTTATATGGAATGGAGGCGTAGACAATGACCGCAACATTGATGAAAAAAGTAGAGGCCTTTGAAATGTGGGCTTAACGACGTATATTACGTATATCCTTGACTGAGCACGTGACCAACGAAGAGGTAGGAATAAGTATAAAGAAAAGAAAGTTGGAATACTTGGGTCACGTTATGAGACATAATATATATAGAGTACTACAGCTGATCGTTCAAGCGAAAATAGACAGCAGAAGGGTCCAGGGAGGAGAAGACACTCGTGTCTCCAAAACTTGCGGCAATCGTTCGGATTGTCATCTGCTGAACTATTCAGATCTGCCGTAAACAAAGTCAGAATAGCCATGTTGATTGCCAACGTTCAAAACGGACAAGGCACTTGAAGAAGAGAAGACACTGAACGTGTTAAAAATAACAAATAAAGATCCTTGTCTGGTAAAAGGAAACCAACTTTTTATTGGATTTTCCAACAAAATTGGAGATGGTTTTTCATGTTGAATTTAAACATTATTCTCCATTTTTTAAACTAAGTACATATATAATATACAAACGTAATAACTGACGTCGTATCAATAGTTCTTACAACTTGTCTTCAACTCTATTTTTCATTTCTCTATCAGAAATTATACCGACACCTCATTTCTTATATCCGAGTCAATAATAATTAACACAAAACTCTATTCTAGGATTTAGCAACATTCTCTCCCGAGAAAATCAACAGAAAGCTTTCACTGTCACCACTTTAAATTCTTTTAGTAGTAGTTGAACTTCCTGTAACTTCCAAGGAATTCTTAATGCTGCATTTAATATACAGAATGGATCGAATGGATCGACTCGATTCACTTACGAGTTACAGTTTTAAGCCGCCAATACATTTTGGGTTTTATACTCTGCATTTGAAATGCCTTTCTAAGTAGCGTGTGGCTTGAATCATGAACCTACTAAACTATTAGCATTAAACTGAATGCTCCAGGGTACTGGGCTGTCGAGCGGATAAGTTTTTAATATATTATTAAATTATTGCTTTTTTAGCTTATATGCTTGCTACAACTGGATTCTATTAGTAATCTTTACTATTACACCTGGAACCATATTAATTATTGGAAACAGCTTTCTAATAAGGACTTTGCAAAAAGCACGCAGAATCAAATGCAATGGAAGGAAGAGACAGGTTGGTAAAATTTTGTCATACATTGTAAGTTTTATGTTACAATCAAATACTGGGGTATAACTTCGGCTATGTAACGGCCCTATTACTACCCATTTATAATTAACTGCCAACTCTACAAACTCAATCACCCTGGTTAGGAATTGCTCCTAAAAAACTGTTGTTTTACAAGTAAATATTAACAATTAATTTATAAGGTTATATCAAGAAATGCATAATTAGTACAAGGTATATGAAGATCATCTTTCTTTTTTGAAAAACCAATTTGTTTGTTTGACATACCTTCACGTGCCGACTAGTGGTCCAACTTCTGCAGTTGGATCTGAAAACGGACCGTGTGTGGGCTGGTTGGATTTGTTGGACAACTAGTGGTACGAGTCGGAACATCTAGTGGGACGACTTGAAGGTCCGACTTCCGACTGGGGACGAAGTCGGAGCATGAATGGTGAAGTTGCAAGTCGGATCACAGGTCGGATCGAAAATTTCCTCAGTCACTTGACCTTCGGTACCTGTAACGTATGATATTTCTATGAAATACTTTACGCAAAGATCTCTATAATCTGTCTACCCAACAGACGGAGTTATCACGTGAATACCATGTGAACTCATGAAATATTATAATCATTTCTACAAACAGTCAAACTAGTCAGAATTCGTGGCAAACAGTTGGTCAGTGAGAGAACAATAATACTGTCATTAGTGCTATCCCCCCTACGTTCGTTCATAGTTTCGGATGGTTTGGTCGCTTGTTGGAAAGAAAAACCACGTTCGCATTGAACCAGTGACGTACCAAAAAAAATAAAATTGGTATTAATTTTAAACAACTTCTAATATTTAGCGTAGAAGTGGACAATACAATTTTAAAATATAACTTTAAAATAAAACCTCAGTCTGACACTATAACTTAAAAATTTTTAATGCAATACAAAAATAATAGAAGTTCCTTAAAAAGTCAACAATAAAACCTGGAAGTGTCCTTAACAAATGGGGAGAAATGGGAATCAAAATACTATAGGCTAACTTTAGGCAATGTGAACATTATACACATGTAAATTTAAATGTGTAGGTGATGGTAGCTTACCCCATTTGTACAACATATACACACATCGACCATGTTGAGTTCTGATGCTTTTAAGTGTGCACCAGGTCTTACGTGGTGGGTCAAATCCAGGAGGTGTCTCTGTGATGCAAGGTATAACTGTATTTAATCGGCAGCGCCGTGTTGCTAAGGATCTTGTTATATTCTTCGGTCAGCAGATTGAGTCGGCGAAGGTGTGATGGTGTAATGTCGCTCAGCATTGGTAGTAAATGGGTTGGTGTAGGTTTGATTACTCCAGCTATCATTATCATGCTGTTATTGAGGTGGATATCAATCTTTTGAACGTGAATACTGTTGATCCATATTGGTATGCAATCTTTAGCTATAGAATAAACCAGAGCTAAGCCTGAAGACCTGAGTCTGGATACCGGTGCCTATATTTTGTGCCACATAGCTTCTGAATTAGTTTATTTTTGGTTTTTAACTTCTTAGCAACTATACTTAAACGTTCTCTAAAGCTTACCGTTCTGTCCAAAGGCACGCTTTGGTATTTTGGATGTTTATTGTGGTTGAGTCATGTGTTATCAAAAGAACATTAAGTAGTGTGCTTGACTCCAGATTGTTGTTTAGGTGAAAGTAGGTTACTTCAGTTTTAGAGGCGTTGGGGTGAATCGGAATCTCTTCAGCTTCTTTTGTGATTTTGTTGGTGTTAATAAAGCCCAGTCATCAGCATAGCCAAACTTTGTTGATGTTGTCGGTATGTCTGCGATATAAAGGCTATAAAGCAATATTGCGAGTACCGAGCCTTATGGTAGACTATTTTTGAGTTTTCTGGAAGTGCTTAATTCGGATCCCATAGTTACTTGAGATACTTTGTCGGTGAGCATATTTTCTATTAGTCTAGCGGTGAATTTGCAAGGCAAAGTACGTAAGAGTCTATAAATCATTTTTTCTGGTCAGACTGTATTGAAAGCTGCAGATCATTGGGCTTCTTTTAAACATTAGTCTTTCAAGTAGTTTATACTATAAGATTTAGATTATAAGACATTGGTCGATAGCTTTTTGGGTGATCAACTGGTTTATCTGGTTTTAGTATTGCTATGAATTTTGAATGTTTAAATTCCCGTGGGATTCTGAATGTAATTGAGTATGTATTTGGGGTGGATGCCGTCGAAACCTGGGTCTTTTCCCGCTGAAACGTCTTTAAGGGCCATCTGAATTTTTTCACTTGTCAAAGGGCAAGAATGTTTGGTCTCAATTGATTGCGATTTTAAGGAATTTTATTAGCTGTCGAAAGTGTAAGTTTCGGAATCATCATTAAGACTAATAGTGATGTCTATACATATTAATAGATCTCCCAAAAAATATGCCACTTTATCTCGGAGCTAAAATACGTTAATTTAAAAACTTATGAATTTAGTATCGAATGTTTTGTAACATTTCAGCCATTAGGTGATACATTAGGTTTAATCAACTTTTTGCTGAAAATTTTAGAAAATTGTGGTTCAGAAATAATTTATACATATTTATTTATACTGCGTGATTACATCCACAATACTTTTTTGACCAATATCTGTATTAGTATATGTACTTACCTAATTTCTTTACAAAACACAAAATTGTACAATACACAAGTCTTAACATATAAAATAAATAAAATTGACACAATAACACAATACAAAGCACAATATTTCTTCAAAATACCTTTACGTACGCCCTTGTATACAATACCGATAACCGATTCTGCGAAGTAAGTAATTTGACTGTCGTTTTTCATCAATCACGTGCAGATCATGCATTTTTTTAACTCCGTCTTTTCGGTAGACAGATTATAGTTCGCAAATATTTAATAGAAAATAAACTTTCAATTGCAACTTTTAACAAACAATGGAAATTGAATCATGGTTGTATTGAAATTAGAGGTAACTGTTTCCTTATATTTTTCTGAAGTTATTTTCTTGTGGCATCTTATGCAAATTTACTATTTTAATTGGAAATAAGCCTGAATATTAGTTAGAAATTAAATTTATTTGATATGGAACTGAAGTTGGACCGCTAGTTGGATATCAAGTCGGAGCGAGAATGGAGACGAATATCCAACCAGTAGTCCTACTAAGTAGGACCGCAAGTCGGAACGTGAATGGCCTGCATGTAAATTGCAATAAGTGCAATTTAGTTTTTATCTTTCAAACAAAAAATTAAAGCAATTAGGACCAATTGATAGTGATAGATAAGTTATTACCATTTACCAGTGAGGTGACTTACTATCTTTATTAAAGGGTTTACGGTTTACATTCTGTTGAATATTCAAATATGGGTAAATACTTCATATATGCAAAACGATGCAGCAGAAGATAAGACTTTTTTAAGTGTAATGGATGTAAGAGGGCCTTACATTTATTATCTACATGTCATTTTGTATTGTTTGAGCTAAAATTGATTATTATTTCTAGGTATTTTAGTCTTTCTTATACAGTCCTCTCTGTTTATAACGATATGCAAGGGACCTGAAACTTTCATCTTTATAAAGAGAGATCGTTATATACAGAGAGACAAAAATCGTTACTTTAAGAATAATAATACTGTACTAAATAACATATTGTAATTTAAAAAATTGATCAAAACGATTATAAATTGATTAACACTGTCTATACTGTGCACAATATATTTGTTAAAGAATGACTGCACAATTAAAAAAATGTATACTGTACAGTAACAAAATAATACGGTATTGTACAGTATTTTCATCAAGGTATGAAAAAAGATTACATCCTATATTTAGCCTACATTAACGAAAAAATCTGTCACCTTGGTCTATTTCCTTTTCCTTTTCCACAGAACTGACCTGATATTGCCCTGAAGACGCATAGATTCTTCCACAGCACTCATATCATGTTCTTCGTAGATGAAAACCGATGAAGTACTTTTGCCGCATCCAATGCCTGCTGAGGGGTCGGGGCTGGTTCTGGCTCTGCTTTCACTTACGGTTCACTGGTTTCTTCTTGTTCTTATGCACGTACTACTTGTAGGATATCCTCGTCAGAAATTTTAGATGTTGTAGCTACATTTTCATGAACTTCTTCGAAACCTGTTAGCTTTTCCGGTACGTAGGTGATAGGAAGTTCAAACTGTCTGGCCCAAACAGTTAATGACAGGTTATCATCATCCTCAGTCAATCGTTGATCTTCCAGTTATTCTGCGTGTTTAAAGGAATGTTCTATCGTATTGCTCGTCACCTTGTCCTAGGACTTTCTAATCATTAGGATGGCCTCAAGAACGTTTAGTTTGATATCGCCACTATTCTCAACCAATTCCATCAAAAGTGTTTTTCTGTAATGGCTTTTCAAACTCTTGATGACACTTAGGCTAAAAGACACTCGTTGTGTTTGCTGGCAGGAAACAAAGTTCAATATTTTGAAGGTCGCACAGTACAGGATAACAGGGCATAATTATATACAAGCAGAAGATTTTTTTTCTTTAAGCTCGACCTGTAATTTTCTTATTGCTTCTTAAAAAATTTTCGAAGTCATCCACTCACTTTTGTTTGTTTTGTAGATCGCATGTAGATTTTTGATGTTTTGAGGCAACGTAGGTATTTTGACTTCTCTATCATTACCAATTTTCTCCTCACTGAATGCGTTCCTGAAGCTATGGTTTGTTTGTTGTACTCGACTCACGGCAGTTTTGGGTGTTAGATTATTTCGCATAAATATTCTGTCGCTCTGAAAACAAGTTTAGAAATTAGTTTCACGTTTATTCTCTCAAAGATTGTACATTTAAAAAAAATGAATTCTCGCAAACTTTTATTATATGCAATAATGTTATTACTCCAAGAAGAGGAGGAAGAAGAATAGTTGATAACGTTAAATTTAAATAAAATAAATAAAAATGTAAACGAAATTTTTTCATGTCTTAATACAGAAGGTGTTTTAAAATAAACAGTCGAAGAAAGATTGTTTCAAAACGAGGAAAAATTTCGAGAATATTTTAGACTTTCCAGGGATTTATTTGGAACTGCCTTACAATTTGTACTAGATCCACTAGTCTTTCATCTTCATCGGGAAAAAAATTAGTAGACATCACTTCATTATTACAATATTAATCATCAATTATCATTAATCAGCCAATCGCGTCCACTGCTGGACATAGGCCTCCCTCAGTTCTTTCCAGTGTTCTCTACACTGGGCCGCTTGTAACCAGTTTCTCGCTATACGTTTTATATCTTCGGCCCATCTAGTCGGTGGTCGTCCTCGGCTTCTTTTATAGTTTCTGGGCCTTCATTCCATAATACGTCTTGTTCACCGTCAATCTTGTGTTCTGGCTAAGTGCCCTGCCCAGTTCCACTTAAGCGTCGTGGTTCTTTCGATGACGTCTTGAACTCCTGATCATTGCCTGATTTGTTGGTTTGTTATGTGGTCTCGAAGGCTCACGTTCAGCATTGCACGTTCCATTGCTCGTTGTGTAACTCTGAGTTTATTCGCAGATTTTTGCGTGAGTGTTAAAGTCTCTGCTCCATAAGTTTGTACAGGCAAAACACATTGGTTATAAACCTTTCGCTTGAGACACATGGGAATTGAACTTTTTAGAATATGGCTTAATTTGCCAAATGCTGCCCATGTTAGGCCTATTCGCCTCTGTATTTCATGTGTTTGATTGTCTCTGTTTATTTTGATTTCGTGCCCCAGATATTTGTAAGTGTCTATTTGTTGTATGGTATTATTGTCAATAGTTATATTTCCACTCATTACGAGATTTGTTATAAGCCTAGTTTTCTCAAAGTTTATCTTTAATCCTGCTCTTTCAGACAGACTTTTAAGCGAATGCATCATAGAAACTGTATCATGTAAGTTATCTGCGATTAATACAACATCATCTGCAAACCTTAGGTGATTTAATCTTTCTCCATCTATATTGATGCCCATATCTTGCCACTGAGTGCTCTTAAATATTGACTCTAGAGCTGCCGTGAACAATTTTGGTGAAATATTGTCTCCTTGTCTAACTCCTCACCCTAAGCTGAATTTTTCTGTGTCTCCGTGTAGTCGTATACTTGATGTAGCGTTTTGGTAGATGTTTTTGATTAGTGTCGTGTACCTGTAATCTATTCGGCTTTGATTTAGGGCTTCCAGTATTGTTTCAAACTCTACAGAATCAAAAGCCTTCTCGTAATCGACAAATGAAAAAAACTCGATACACTTTTCTATTAAGATCTTTATGGTATACAAATGGTCATTTGTGCCACATCTTGCCCTGAAGCCTGTCTGTTCTTTGGGCTGATAGAAATCAAGTTTAGGTGTTAGCCTCTTTGTTAAGATTTTCATAAAGAGTTTGTATATATGTGTCAAGAGGCTGATGGGTCTATAATTTTCTAATTTAGTAATATCGCCTTTTTTGTGTAACAAGACTATTACTGCATTGTTCCAGTCTTTTGGAATCGTACCCGCATGTAAGCATTTATTAAACAGTTCGCTTACTGATTTTAATAAAATTTCTCCTCCTGCTTTTATTGCCTCGATAACGAGTCCATCATCACCAGGCGATCGATGGTTCTTTATTTCCTTTAAAGCTGCTCTTACTTCTGACACAGTAATGGGTAAAAGTATTTCCGATCCCTGATTTATAAGAGTCTTTACTCGTGTCGGGAAATTGTCTTGTGGACTTTGACGAACAAGAAGTGGCAATCGAAGATTTTGGAATAGGAGTAATAAACGAAAGAGGCAAAATGCTTACCAACTTTCTACTGCAACACAAACTGTATGCAATGAACACCTTTTTTAAGAAGAAACAGAATAGAAAATGAACGTGGGCTAGTCTAGACGGAAGAACTAAGAGCGTATATGATTATATAATAACAGACAAAAAGCAAATTATTCAAGATGTCACTGTACTGTAAACTATCAGTAGGAAGCGAACACAGACCAGTAAGAGTTAGAGTAACGATAAATCTACAAAAAGAAAGAGCAAAATGATAAACAGTTGCAAACGCATAGTTTGGAATTCACCAAATCATCCAGAAGCATAGAAGTCTTTATAACTTTATAACTCTCTGGTTATTTTCAGAATGTTTTGTTTATCTGTTGTTGCCTTTCCGTCTTTATCTCTCAGCTTGTATATTTCTTTTTTACTTTGTGTGAGTTTTCTTTTCATTATCTTTAAACCTTTGTTCTCTTCTACTGTTTGAGTAATTACATTAGTATTATATCTTCTTACATCTTTTCCAATTTCCGCTAAAATTCTTTTATTTAGTTTTTTATATTCTTCTTTGTTTCCCTATTGTATTTTTGCTAATCTTTTCACTTTTGGTATCATTTTTCTTGCAAAATTTGAGTTGTGCGTTTCTAACCGAGTCTGTTATTAATTTATTGTGATCGCCGATACTTAGAAGTTTGGGATTATTACTCTGTAAAGTTTCGGCTATATTTTTTATGTATGCTTCTGGATGATTTGGTGAATTCCAAACTATGCGTTTGCAACTGTTTATCATTTTGCTCTTTCTTTTTGAAGATTTATCGTTACTCTAACTCTTACTGGTCTGTGTTCGCTTCCTACTGATAGTTTACAGTACAGTGACATCTTGAATAATTTGCTTTTGTTCTGTTATTATATAATCATATTCGCTCTTAGTTCTTCCGTCTAGACTAGCCCACGTTCATTTTCTATTCTGTTTCTTCTTAAAAAAGGTGTTCATTGCATACAGTTTGTGTTGCAGTACAAAGTTGGTAAGCATTTTGCCTCTTTCGTTTATTACTCCTATTCCAAAATCTTCGATTGCCACTTCTTGTTCGTCATTTTTCCTTCTGAGTTTCCCGTTAAAATCTCCCATTATCAGATTGTAATGAGCCGGTTTCTGTTTTTTTGCTATTTCAATTTCCTCATAGAAGGCTTCGACAATTTCATTTTCATAATCGCTCGTGGGGGCGTATACCTGGATTATTTTCAGGTTGTATCTCTTATTTAGTCTTCGATTTATATACTTACATAACTCTTGTCGTCGACTCAGTTGTCGATTCCGTTTCCCCTTTATAGTGGAATATGTTTCCTGATTTTAGTTTGACCTGATCTTCACCTCTTCTTTTGACTTCAATAATTCCTATAATATCCCATATCAGATGTTTGAGTTCTTCCTCTAGTTCTGTCATTGTTTCATCCTTAGATAAGGTTCTTACATTATACGTAATTATGTGCAACGTTCGTCATTCTTGGTAGCCTCTTACATCCCGGAGATTCTTCATACCCTCTACCCTTGGTCGGGAACTAGCGAGCTGCCGGGGACTAAGGGCCGTTCTCTTGAATGTCTGTTCATGCTGAGGGGTTTTGGCATTTAAACACCACGCTTGCCAGGCGGGTTGGTGAGTTGGTTTGGGAAATTGGTAGGATAGTAGATATTGGGTAGGAATGGGGTTAAGACATGATTTCTCTCCACAGGAGTTGAGAGAGAATCAAGGCTCGCGTAGGGCAGGATCGCATCCCTGAAGTAAGTCTATCCTCTACTGGGATTGTGGAAGAGTACCTACCCGCTACCACAATATTAATACCTATATAAAAATATAATTATAATTTCGGTATAGATGTGTACGCTGTCAGATCAGCTGAACGTTTGCGTCCAAATCAAATCGCAGTTGATTCCAGCGCACACCGTCGACGTAGACGGCTATCGGTCTGCAGTGCGCGCAACTCAGCAGAACCTAACGAACCATTATAATAGAGAACCATTTCTTTGATTTTGATGATCGTGCGCGGCGTTCGACTGACTGTGAGTTGTGCGTCGCTCATTGTTTTAACAAACCATAGCTTTAGAGAGCTTTTCACCAACGCACTTTTCCGATTTAGTTTGGTGTTAAAGTTTGATGTTACTTTAAAAAATAATCCAGTCTCAATCCATTCGTCGTCTGACGAATATCGTGCCTTCAGTCCAGGCCACACGTTTTCTAGCCAAGGATCAGTTACATTTTTGTTAACATCGCGAGTCTCTCCGGTGATTTGCCCGTAGTTCATTTTGTGTCACAGCTTCTACTTGCTCAGCCAACCCTCAACCTCATATATATATATATATATATATATATATATATATATATATATATATATATATATATTTAAATGATACTAAAGTATTAAATTTTTAAGGTATATTTAATTTTTTAGGACCACAGAAACTTGACGATTACATTAATAATTATAATTGTTCTCTTCATTATAGTAGAAGTACCATCTAACTTTATATCACGTACTAGAGCAGTCACTTTAATATTTTTTGGAGCAAACGTAGGGATTGACGAAGTAGTTATAGAAATTATCAGAGAAATATGTACTTTACTAGGAACTGTTAATGTAACAGCAAATTTTTTATTATACTACCTACTTTGTCCAGCATTCTGTAGAGCACTTAAGGAAACGTTCAGGTAAAGTATTTACAATTAATTAATAATTATAAAGTTCAAGTTTTATTATTATTCTGTTGCTCGGATTAATATTCGATATTGTTTGTTAGACAACAGGATCATGTTTTGTCAAGAAGATAAAATAATTGTTATAGATACATGGTTCAAACTACATCACATTTTATACACGTGAAAATCACCACAAGACAATAAGATAATTAATTTACGAACATATCAAAAACTGTAAATATAAATTGTAGCTTAAAACTAACCCTTATATATAAGTAAATATTGTATTATAGCAGAAAAAATACATATATAAAAAAAAAAAAAAAAAAAAAAAAGGAAGATGTAAACCTCCGAGATGTTGAATCGGGTTATGTCTTAGCGCAGGAAAAAAAAAATAAAAATTAAAAAAAAAAAAATTTAGAAAAAAGAAAAAAAAGAGAAATAAAAAAAAAGAAATGAAAAAAAAAACAAGTTGTAATTTATTAAAAATTGCATGTTAGATTGTACGGATGATTGTATGTTTATTCCTCTGATTGTAAAAAATTCCTCTGATTGTTAAAATAGTTTGTCTTTAAATTTGTCTGGCTAATTGGCTCGGCCAAGGCCATCACACTAAAAAAAAAAAAAAAAAAAAAAAAAAAAAAATAAGATAATTGCATCAGAAATCAAATAGAATAAATACCTAGTGCCAAAAGCCTATTATATGTGCAAAAACCTTCCCCCGGTGCAGATGTTTCCACCGAGCACACCTTGCTTGCAAGAAAATTTAAAAATAAACAAAAAATAATAATAAAAAAGAAAGAACAATTATGAACGGACTGAAACAAAAAAGAAACGAAGCCAAATATAACACGTCACGTTAATAAAAAAAACAGCGTAAACGAGCAGCCTTTCTGGATGTAAGCGCAGCCTTCAACAGTGTCTGGGCTAAAGGACTAATACACAAAATGAGACGCTACGAATACAGTGAGGTCATGACGGGACTGATCTCTTCGTACTTAAGCAACCGAAGCTTCAGAGTTCGGATAGGAAAAGTCCTACCAAAGCACGGAGCTCCAGAGGCTATAGTGCTATAGGGAGCAGCCCTGTCACTCCTACTATACAGAATATACACCACAGATTGGGGTTAAACAAAGAAACTTAGAAGTAGCGGTCAACAACAGACAGCATTGCATAACAATGAAGCAATAAATAGCAATAAATTAAAAAAACACAAGCAATCATATCAAAAAAGAACGAGAAACCTCAGAGGTACAGCTATTAGTGCAAAATAGTCCAATCGAATAAAAAAAAGCGAAATACCTACAAGTCATTATGGACCAATGAATAATATTCACACAACACGTGGATACAACCATCCAGAAAACAGTAACAGCCAAAGCAGCAATAAGAGGACCCGCACGTAGAAAAAGTGAACTGTACATAAAGACGAAAATGAGACTGATAAAGAGCACTATACTTCCAATAATCACATATGCATCTCTTGCATGGGGACACATGAACAATTCAAATAAAAAGAGAATACAAGCAGCCCACAATACCAGCCACAGAGAAGCGGCAGAAGTAGCCAGAGACGTCGCTGAACGCTTTCTGTTCAGAGAACTGTAAGAAGTAAGGGTGATGAATAAAACGGTAAAAATCCAGAATTAAGTTGGAGAATTAGAGAATCACCCAAGCCGGATACTGCGAAAGATAATAAGATAAGATGCGTTTCATCGATCTAAGCACAAAAGACCAAAACAGCAAGTTCTGGTAAATATATAAAGTCTAGATAATTTATCTGCGCTATCAGAAGCCCCAGCATACAGCACTGGTAATAAAAAAACATATAATATTAATTAAAAAATAATATATACATCGGTTTAGAACGTCTTTCGACGTTGTCCGATACTTAAACACCATCTCTTCCTATCTTCGCAGTCGTTTGTTGTTAAATTTCTTTCGCTCATGGACTTATTTACGCCGTGTTGCCATTCTACTACTTTTTTGGGGAGTCTTGTTGCTGGCATCCGTTGAACATGCCCATACTACCTTAATTGTTTCTTCTCTATATCTTGAGTTATATTTCCTTCTATTCCCATATGTTGTTTTATTACATAATTTCTGATTCGGAAATACCTAAAGATCTTCTTATTGCATCTCTACTGCTTCTATTCGCTTTTTGTTCTTTTCATTCATTCTTCATGTTTCAGCGCCATAAAGAAGAGTAGTTTTAGTAGAAGATATATGGTTTTTGTTGTATTGACATTCATTACCCAGTCGTTATATTCTTCTATCATTTTTCTAAGCATGTACTGCATTTCTTCCCTGTCGGTCGCTAGTACTACCTGGTCATCAGCAAACTGGAGTATATATACATTCATTGCTAAGCTCTATAACCATCCTATGCACCTTTCTTTTCCACCTTTTCAATGCTGCTGCAACATATATCTTGAATAATGTTGGTGAGATAGAGCATCCCTGTCGCAAGCCTTTTGTAACCAGAAGTTCTTCCGTTAGATATTTTCCTGTTTTTATCTGTGCCTTTAAATTTCTATATAGTTCTTGTACAGTATTTATCAATGTGTGGTTGATGTTAGATCTTTTCAACGTTGTCCACAATTTTGTTAAGGGGATGTTGTCATATGCTTTTTGCAGGTCTACAAAAGTAATATGAGTTTCTAGATTCTTAGCCGATCTTTTTTCTTAGCCGATTATTTGTTTAAAACAAAATACGTTATCGGTGCACGGAAACCGCTTTGTTCTTCCTCTTCAATGTGCTTATATTCTTCCTCGATCATATTTCTCAAAATTCGTCCATACAGTCTGCTCAGGGTGCTGGTTACCGATATGCCTCTATAATTATTACAATTCCTTTTGTCCCCCTTTTTGTGTATTGAGGACATGTATGCCGTTCTCCATTGTTCTGGTACTGGGTGTCCATTTAGACACTGATTGATCACATAAATTTTCAAATAGTTTATGAGTTCCATTCTTAAGCATTTCAGCATAGATTCCCTCAGGTCCAGCGGATTTACCATTCTTTAGGGTCAATACAGCCTTCCTTACTGTTTCGATGTGTACCCTCGCTTCCTCTCCTTGTATATGTACTGACTGTGTTGGGGAGTTCGCTAGATATTCTTGTCTTGTCTCTATCAGCAAGCTTTCATAGTGATCTTTCCATTGTCTTGGTTTTATGGTGTGTATATGTGCTTTGTCTTTTCCTGTATTTTTTACTGATTGTATAAAATTCCATACCTCTGTACATTGCTTCCCTCCGATGTATGTATTGATTTCTAGACATTTCTGATCCCATGTTTTACTAATTTCTTGTTTTATCATTTTTCGTAGTTGTCTATCGGTTTCTTTGTAAGCTTGATGGTCTTTAGTATTTTTTGTATTTAGCCATTTTAGATGCTGTTCTTTTTTCTGTTTTACTACATATTCGATTTCTTCGTTCCACCATATTTTGTTACTAATTTTTTTTACTAATTTTGTTTTGCTGTGTCCCGAGTGTCTGCCTAGAGCCCTGGTGTAAACTAGCAATAATATTCTCGTAAATATCTGAAAATGTTTCTCTCTCTATTTCTCGTAGTTTTTCATCCAGTCGTCGTTGGTATAGCTGTTTAGTACTATCATTTATAAAACTATTGAAGTTGTCCTTCTTAGTGTCCACTGTCTGCAAGTCTTGCTTGTCTTCTAGGTTTTGGTCTCCGTGTATTATCTTAAGTGGGAACAAAATTTTCGCTCTTACTAAGTAGTGATCGGATCCACATGTTATTCTTCGGAGAACTCTTACATCATTCCACTGCAATACAGATTTTTGTTTACTAATAATATAATCGATGACTGATTTTAGATTGCGTGTTTGTAAATTAATTTATCATTATTTTGGCTTTACAACCCTGTGTGGATCCTAGCCTCCCCAATAATTCTCTTCCAGTTGTCCCTATCCATTGCCTTCCTCCGCCAAGCACGTATTTCCGTATTTCTCATATCTTGGTCTATGTTATGTAAATTAATTACAAAATTTAAAATATTAACGAAATTCCAAAACTTAGGCACGAAGGGCCCACATCCTCGAGCACAGAGTAGTCGAACCGAGCATAGCCTTAAGCGGAGATTTAAGGCACAAGTAAGCAGTTTCAGTTCGATGATACTTCACTAGAGAAAGTAGTTAAAGCGCGCCTTTCGCTAGCCTGCGTTGATCGGATTAACATATATTATAGCACTTGTACGTAGGACTTTCACACGTATTTAGCTGATAGTGAGTCCCTATTGCTCCTAATTACAGGAATTAATACACCTTGCTTCAATTGTAACACACATATGCCTTTCTAAGGGGTGTGCAAGTCTCTGAGACTGAGTTTAAATAAATTGCTTGCTTGTTAACCAACAATTTTTAAAACAAATAGACATGCGGAAAGTGGATAGAGAGAGAGAGAGAGAGAGAGATAGAGAGAGAGAGAGAGCGAGAGAGATAGAGAGAGAGAGAGAGAGAGAGAGAGAGAGAGAGAGAGAGAGAGAGAGAGAGAGAGAGAGAGAGAGAGAGAGAACCTGACAACTTGTGGTCTGATTTAAAAACAATAGTTACGCAAACCGAAGACCATCTAAAAAATACAAACCAATATGCAAAAAACCATGGATAACTGATTACGTATTAGAAAATGATGAATTTAAGAAGACAATACAAGAGTGAAGATTACAGTAAATATAAATTCACAAACAATTAGGAAAAAGGATAGTGAAGCGAAGCCAAGGAGAAGTGGCATATGTACATAAACATGTAAGAGAGAAGACTTACAGAAAAAACGTGACAACAAACAAGAAACTAACTGGAAATAGAAATAATAGACAGTGTGGCATACTAACAAGAATGGATGTTTTCTTCTGTTATTGTTCTTCTAACTCCTTGTATATATGCTTTAAAGCCTGTTTCTTCTTCAATATTAGCCTCCTGAATTGTTTAAATTATTCCACCATCTCTTTCTTGGTCTGCCAATACTTCTTCGTCCATTTGGTAACTTATCTCGTGATATACGTACTTATCCTTTGCTATTCTACTAATGTGTAGAATAAACTGCTTTTTGGATATTTTGGTTTCTCTACGGATCCTAGAATATATTTCGCATATTCATTTGCAGAAACTAACTGCTGTGTTTATAAGTATTAGATAAAAAAATAAATATGTATAACAAGAATTCCGAGGAATTTAATTTTTGTTACCGTGTTACGCCAAATGTAGGCAACTTACAGGCCTCCATAATCACACATGCAGCGAATAAGTTCTGACAACATGCAAAATCTTTTCTTCTATGTTTTCTGCAATCCTTTTTACATTATAATACATTTGTACAAATTGATGTTCAGGTGTGTTGAGAGTTTGTCGTGTAAGTTGAATTTTTGTAATGATTATGTAGGTACTCTTTAATACCTGCAGTTGTCTTTTCCATTTTAAATTTTTTTGTCTTATATATTTAAATTTTCAGTCTGATATTGTTTCAGTCTTATTTAAAATCTGTTGAAGTATTAATACATTCAGTCTACGTAATTCACGAATGTTTTTTCGTGAATCGTGTCACGAAAAAACTCGAAGAAGGTACCTAACAAGATGGATCCATCAAATGCAAGAGTTAAAAGATATTACCAGAAACAGAGCTCTTAGGAGACGAACAATAAACTACATTACGATGACCACTACACTCCCTCTACGGGTCAGCATTGAAGAGAGATTTTAATCATATTTGATTTCTGGTTTTATTTAAATTTATTTATTTATTTTTTTTTTAAACGCGATACTTAGATACAGGAAACCAATGTCATCATTATCCCAAAGCTAGGAAAGAGCACGTTCCCACAAAACTACAGGCCGATAAGCTTACTTCCAGCATTCAGCAAGATTGTGAAGTCTTACTCACCAAAGTACAAGCAGACACAGATCGGTTAGCACTTATTCCAGAAGCTCCTTTAGTATTGCATTAAAAAATTTTCTTTATGATGCAGCAATGCAATAGAATTAAAGCAATGCTGGAAAATGGGCTAATTCTAACTGACATGAAAGGAGTGCAGATTTAACCAAAACAACTAAGAGGTGCCCATAGAAGAAGTGCTTTCTCCCCCTCCCTGGTGAACGACTAGAAGTGCAGGCTCATCCTGATAATCTAGTAATTATGGTAAGACGCGGTATAACTGTAACACCCGGAATTAGGGAAATGTAATTCCATTAAGAATGAGTGGTGCCGACCCATCTTTTCCGAGGGGTGTTGGCTGAACTGAGTAGGCCGCTAACCTCGGTTACAATGGTGGACACGATACATTCTTATAACCCACCGTCTTGCCAGCGTGGTGGATTATGGCCAAAACCTCCAAAACCAAACATGTCGATTGCAACAAAAACACGGAAGGTACCCCAGGTGGGTAGTAATTCTATTCCACAGTGCCACACCGTAACAATGGTCTGCTCCGAGGATTCTGGGGGGGGGGGGAGCAAGTCGACATTGAAAAAGAAGAAGAACAAACAACTCCATATAGCAACATACAACCTCCGCTCCATGGCAAAAGACGGAAAACTCTACGAACTAGATGAGGAATTGGGGAACTTGAATTGGAACATAATGGGACTGTCAGAAGTTAAAAGGTGAAGGATCTGTGGACTTACATTTAGGTAACAGACTCTATTATAAAGGCAGGGAAGACTACAGATACGGTGGAGTAGGTTTCTTAATCAACAAGAAGAGAAAATCTCAAATTCAAATAATTGACAGCATATCAGACAGGGTTACATACATGGTCTTAAAACTAAATCCAAAAACTAAAATAAAGATCGTGCAAGTTTATGCTCCAACTGAAAAAGCAACCGATGAGGAAATAAATTCTTTGTACGAAGACGTTAAAAAAGCTATAGACAACAACAAAGAATCCAAAATAATAATAATGGGAGACTTTAACGCCAAAATTGGAAGTAAGATTAAAGACTCTGAAAGCAAGATTGGAAACTTTGGATTCGGCACAAGAAACACAAGAGGAGAAAAACTCATGGAATTCCTGAAACAAGAAAACATGCATGTTATGAATATCTTCTACAAAAAGAAACCTAACAGAAAGTGGACATGGGTCGCACCTAACGGAACTACCAAACATGAAATAGACTATTTTCTCTCAAACGACAAAGGAATATTCGAAGACGTCACAACAATAAACAACGTAACAACGGGTAGTGACCATCGTGTAGTCAGAGCAAAAATAAATATTAACATGAAAAAGGAGAGAAAAAGGATTAAAAAAAAAACAACGAGGATAGATGCCTTTAAACTAAGAACAAATGAAGAGCAATTCCGAAAGGTCTTAGTGGATAAGTTCGAATTGGATCCTTCACATAATCAAGATCAAATTGACGAGATTAATAAAAAAATTCTCGCAGCAGGACTACAGGTCGCAAAGAAATCAAGGACTAAAGAAGACAAAATAGGCAATGAAACTAAACAGCTAATGACGGAAAGAAGACAACTACTAGCGCAAAACAAACGCAGTACTCAAGAATATAGAGAACTTAATAAAACAATTAGAAAATAACTAAAACGCGACATACAAAAATGGAACGAGAACTTAACAGAGCGCGTCATTAAAAACAACAGAGGCTTAAAATGTCTAAGACCCGCAGTGCGAGCTCAAAAAATCATCAAAATTAAAGACGCCAACAATAAAGTAGATAAAGACACATATAAAATAACAAATATTGTCGAACACTTCTACACAGCCTTGTACAGTTCGCAGGGCCAGCCTAATGAAACAACAAAGGAGAATGTCAAAAGAAAAATAAAAAACGTGGGATCAGAAGTACTACCAAATATAAAGGGATACGAAATAGAAAGAGCTTTAAAAGAACTAAAAAAATAATAAAGCTCCAGGACACGACGGTATAATTGCCGAGCTCTTTAAAACAAGCAAGACATTAACAATCCCTGTATTAACACAGCTATTTAATAGATGTCTCCATAATAGCCAGATCCCTAAAGATTGGAACGAGAGTCTAGTAATACTCTTGCACAAAAAAGGGGACAAATGTCTCCTTTGTATGTAGTAATACATACAAATAATACATAATATATATGAAAATGCAACTATGATAGTAGAACTAGACGAAAATACTAATCCCATCCCCATTAAAAGAGGAGAGAGACAAGGAGACGTAATATCGCCAAATCTTTTCAACCTAGCCCTAGAAGACGTCCTTAAAACTACAAATTGGTCAACCTATGGCATTAACGTTAATGGAAACAAGTTAAACCACCTTAGATTCGCTGACGACACAGTGATTATAGCGAGCACATTCGAGGAACTGCAAATGATGTTGGGGGAACTAGCAGCCAGCTCCCAATACGTCGGCCTAAAAATGAATATGAAAAAAACAAAAATAATGACAAACACAGATGAACCCAGACATATAACTATAAACGGCAGTGGGATAGAACAAAACGGGGAATATATCTACCTAGGCCAAATCCTGAGACTTGACAAAGAGAACCAAAGTGCGGAAATTACTAGAAGAGCAAGACTAGCATGGGCAGGATTTGGAAAACTTAGTTGGATACTTAAGAACCGCAAAATACCTCAATACTTGAGGAGCAAAGTGTTCAACCAATGCATCCTTCCTATCATGACATATGGATGTCAAACCTGGACCCTAACTAAGGCAAACATGAATAAACTAGCCACAACAGAAAGAACAATGGAAAGAGCAATGTTAGGTATACGACTGTCAGAAAAAAAGAGGAACGACTGGGTAAGATCCAAAACAAAAGTCGAGGAAATAACAACAAAAATTGCCAAACTTAAATGGAGCTTCGCGGCCACACTGCTAGACAGAAAGACCAACGTTGGAATACTATAATGCAACATTGGAGACCTTACGAAAGTAAACGACCAAGAGGAAGACCACAGATGAGATGGGTTGATGACATTAACCAACTCCTTCCATCGGTCTCTATCCTGAGCAACAAATTGGAAATATGTTGCTCAAGTTTTGTTACAGAATTTAAATATGTCAATTAGTGAAACATGATTAATATAATAATAATAACAGCTAAGCTAATGTACATACTATGTTAATAAATACTATATTATACCTTTATTATAATTTAGAGGCGATGACTTTGATAGTTGTCACAGTTAATTTCGAGTAAAAATAGCGTATGAATTGTACTATTTATGGTTGAAAATTGCTACGTTTGAAGAAAAAATAGTATACTTTATTCGGCAAAGAAGTGACTTTTCTTGACTTGCCCTCTGTTACGCGCCTCACTTCAAGTTGTACAAAAAAGGAAGACCCTCTGGAAATCAATTGATACAATTTACAAAAGCACCATTTAATAAACACGTATTATTAACCGTTGAAACTTAATATTATTCTATTATTAGTTTTTGATTGTTTTCTTATCTGTACATTGTTATTGCAAATATTGTTATTTGGCATTTTAACTAAATAGCTAACTAAATTGTAAGGACAGCATTTACCGTTGCTAAAGGATTAAACCTTAAGCATTAATAATATTTACCTAATATCTCCCTCTTAAGAAATTACTTGTATTTCCTATCTTTCATATTTTAATAAAGACATTTTTACAGTGGGAAGTTTTCAAATTCTTACGTTTTATTTATAATTTTAACAATTGAAAATTGTATGTGTGTATTTCTCAACTATCGCCAAGTATTATCTATTGTATACTGTTTATTGTTACTCTATTATTAATAAAAAACAAACGTTTTTTTCGTTTTTAGAGTTCGTACTACAGAAAAAGTCGAGAAAGTTCAAGTAAATGTGATCGTTTTGGGAGAAAATATGAAGATGTCTGCAGTTAAATCTAAATTTCTTGAAATTGCAAAAAATATGCCAACAATGCTCAAGAAACAAGATGCTAATTCGGACCTACAACATTCTAATACAAAGCCAGATGAGTCGGAGTATGTAGAAATCATAAATGACTATAACGACAGCACCTTGTCTTCTAGACTGTCTGAGACAGAAACTTGTAGAAATCAATCACTAACACCTAATGTAATAAATTAAGAAGGGTATTTTAATTTATTAATTTAACACTATCTAAAATATTGAACGAAATAATTTTTTTGAATGTATCTATGTTTTGTCGATTTTTAATTTATAGTTTAGATCTAGGTCGTTCTTTTTATTTAAAATTATGTATCTCCACGTTACTCTCGTTCAAAACCATGCTGTTCTTTTAATCATATACCACATTCAATGAAGAAAAAAAATCTGAAAAAATCTTATACAGATCTTTGAAGGTTCTAAAAGGTATATAAGAGAGGCAAAACAAACTTACTATGAGGAAAAATGTAAAGAGATAGAAGATCTTCAGAAAAAATACGACCTATTTAATCTACATAAAAAAGTTAAAGAAATGGCAGGGCTGCAAAAAAGAAACCATCACACAACTCTTTTAGATAAAATGGAAATACTGTGATAACGACTGACGAAAAGCTAAAACGATGAAAAGAGTATATGGAAGAGCTCTTCGACGACGAAAGAGGAAACCTACAAGACATATCTTTCGAGGACAGAGAAAAAAGTATAGAAATTCCAAAGGAAGAAATATTGTATGCCATAAAGAACACCAGAAACGAAAAAAGCCCAGGGCCAGATCAACAGCCTATTGATATCCTTAAAATAAATGAAAATTAGTACATGGATGTCCTCTTAAAGATCTTTAATATAATTTATCAGTCGGGAGACATACCCAGTAAATATTTGTTTACCAAAAAAGAAAAATGCTAGATAATGCACCGACCACCACGCCATAATCCTGATGTATCACACACTTAAAATGTTTTTAAAGATCATTTATAAACACATTTACCAAATACTTAATATGGATATTAAAGAAAGCCAATTTGGATTCCGTAGAGACGTAAGTTAGGTTAGGTTAGGTTAGTTAAGATTAGGTAGGTTAGGTCTTTGCGTTCAACGTTCAAGATATGTACGTCTGTTTAATAGATTACAACAAGACTTTTGATAAAGTCCGCCACAAAGAGCTAATGGACGTCCTCAAAGCAACACGATGACAATACAATGACCTTCGAATTATAACAAATCTATATTATAAGAACATAAGAATTCATACATCAGAAGAGTTCGAAATTAAAAGAGTAGTGCGACAGGGGTGTGTATTGCCATCACTACTATTCAATGAAAACTCTGGAGAAACTATGAAAAGAGTCTTAAGGGTGAAACAGCAGGAATAAAGGTCAATGGAACACCAATAACCAACATTATATATGCGAAAGATCTAACATCATAGCAGACAACCTCCAAGAACACCAACAGCTAATGTATAAGAGAGTTAAATATGGAGAAGATGGATTATCAATAAACATAAAAAACTAAAGTTATGAGGATATAAAAAACCCAAAATAATGATGAAAGCCTGACAATTAACGTTAAAACTTTAGAACAAATTGAAAACATAATAAGAAACAATAATTAATCACACAAACGATTACTCCAAACAAATCAAAGTTCAAATAGAGAAAGCACGAACAAACTTCAATAATATGAGAAAGGTACTTTGTGCAAGAAAACTGCAATTAGACTTGACACTTGATTAAAGTGTTATATTTTATCGACTCTGCTTTACGGGATAGAAGCATAAACACCTAACGAGTGGACTACTAAAAAGTTGGAATCATTTAAACTGTGGTTTGAACTGTAGACCGAGCATGTAACAAACAACGAAGTCATGAGAAGAGTCAACAAAAGAATGGAAATATTGGAAACCATCAAGACACGAAAGCTGCAATACCTGCGTAGATAAGTGTAGGAAAGACAAGAATCTCGTGGTTGCGTAACTTAAGGGAATGGTACGGATACACATCAATCGAACCATTCAGAGCGGCAGCATCTAAGATCAGATTGATTGCCCAGTATTGCCCACCTCCATCGCGGAGATGGTACGTAAAGAAGAAAAAGAAAAGGTATATAAGAGTAGCTGATGAAAAATTCGCGAAGTTGCACAGCTGATTTTATTTTGTTTTGTTATTTTTAACAATCTTAAAAAGTTTAAAACATAGTTTTTGCCTATAAAAAGTTTATTATACATTATAGAAAAAATGTTTCAAATAAAATTTGTAGAACATAACAACTTCCTTATTTTAAGAGGATCCAAAATAAAATACAGAAGCAATTGACCAAAATAATTATAAAAACAACTTAATTTTGTAGTAATATCTAAATGTTAATAACTTTGTTTTTTGTATAAACACATGTAATATAGCTAATTAAAATGATGGCAGTTAATGAATTATTTAAGTATCCTAAATTTTAAACAGGTCGACCAAATAGTTTATGAGTTATTCAATTTGTTTATCCCGGTTTATGATAATTCAGTAAAATCCACTTTTTATTAAAAATTAATATGATTTTTATCTGCACATATTCAACATCAGATTTAATCTTTCACTTGGAAAACCTAAAACAGACGTCTGCAATGCATGTGACAAATTCAAAAATCAAATAGATGCGGCGAAAAATCCAGAAGAAAAATCCCAATTGAATCAAGAATACTCTGTTAGACTAGGTGGGATCTGTAGAAATTCAGACCATAATGGACATTTTCCATAGTAAGCTATTTTTTGCTGAAACCCCTTCAGGATGTGCCCAATATCGATAATCACGATATGCGCCAGTCGCAAACCCTGTGCTAAATTTTTTATTTAAGAAAATATGAAAATAATTGAAAATTTCTCATTTTTTTGCTTATATTTTCATTTATAATTCGGAAAATATTGATCCTAGAGAAAAAACTATAAGAAGTTAAAAGTTTCTCTATTCAATTTTACACAATATTTCGTTAGCTAGAAATTAAAACTTTAATCTTTATTGTTGAAAAAATAGCAATGATTGGAAAAAAAGTACAAAGAAATGAAGTTAATCCTTTAAATGTTTTCGACTTTCTAAACTTGACTTACAAGCTCCATATTTCGCCTAGAAAAACTTTGTAATTTGTTTAATACGTGTGCTAAATTTTGTTAAGATCGGTCAAATAGGGTTTGCATAATAATTTTGCAATCCAGCCTACTGAAAAAAAGTCGCAAATTTTCAAATTTGCGATTGTTTTCCAGTAGGCTGGATTGCAAAATTATTATGCAAAACCTATCTGACCGAACTTAACAAAATTTAGCACACGTTTTAAACATATAAAAAAGTTTTTCTAGACGGAATATGGAGCTTGTAAGTCAAGTTTAGAAAGTCAAAAACATTTAAAGGATTAACTTCATTTTTTTGTAATTTTTTTCCAATTATTGCTATTTTTTCAACAATAAACACTAAATCTTCAATTTCTAGCTAACAAAATATTGTGTAAAATTGAATAACGAAACTTTTACTTCCTATAATTTTTTCTCTAGGATCAATATTTTTCGAATTATAAACGAAAATAGGAGCAAAAAAATGAGAAATTTTCGATTGTTTTCAGATTTTGTTAAATAAAAAATTTAGCACATGGTTTTCGACTGGCACATATCGTGATTATCGATATTGGGCACATCCTGAAGGGATTCCAGCAAAAATAGCTTTCTATGGAAGATGTACAATCCAAAACAGATCACGCCTAGACTATTCAGTAAAGAAGCTAAAACGGGCGAAAAACTACTAGATGGTATTAGCTTTGACTATCAACAAAATTTGCCAGTACCAGTACTACCAATACGTAATATTTTTTATAAAAGGCAGTTGTGGGTTTATAACCAGTGTTTTTTCCTCTATGAGCACTATCATTTTTAAAATACTGTAACAAAAAATGTGTGACTGGGAGGTGTTGGATGCCAATTTCATAAAAATGTGTATGTGTAATGTAACGCAAATATAGGTACACAAAAATACTTTAGTTGCTTGTACCTAAACGTACTGTAATTTCTTAGTTATTCGTTAAGAAACTCTTCCACTAAATAATATGGTCTTTTAGATAAATAGGCTTTTGTCAAATTACGGAACTTAAGAAAAGAAGTTCCAGATATAAGTTGCAAAGGGAGATGGTTGTGTAATTCTTTTGTCGAATATAAAATAGATTTTTTACTCTTAAGTTTAGTTCTTAACTCAGTGGATGGGATCGGTAAATACATATCAAAGGTTGAATTTCTGGTAGAGTAGTCATGATTAGGTCCTGCTGGAAAAACATGTAGTTGTTTACGAATTAAGTTTCTAAAAGAGTTTCTAAAATATATAAAGAGGAAAGAATTAAAAATCCCGTGATTTTAAAGTAGCTTCTGCAATGTGTTAATCTACTGAACCCCAAAAATGAAGGCCATATCGAAGATGACGAAAAAAAAAGACGAAAATAAAATATGTTATATAGGTATATGAAAAATATATTGAAAGATGCTAAATTGATTTCCTTTGAAACAGATCCTATTACATAGCAGGCTAGTTTCTTGCTTAACAAATAGATATGAAGGGACTATTTTTAAGGTTGCTGTCTATAAAAATACCAAGAAATTTCACAGAATCAAGGATATTGATCTGGTTGTTATTAAGAAGCAAGGGTTGAGAAGCTCCTTTATTGCATAATGCTACTGTCTTATCCACGTTAAAAGAGAATACATTAGAGTCGGACCAGATTTTTATTTTAAGTAGATCAGAAATTATATTTGCATGAAGGTTGCAACATTAGAGTTTCGTCAGGTAATGCTGGTATCATCAGCAAAAAGAAAAAATATTCCATCGATTTTTAAGGTAGTGATGTCTATTATCAAGATAACGAAAAGTAGAGGACCTAATACAGAACCTTGTGGTACTCCACATACAATGCTTTTGTGACTAGAGTCAGTAATATTTGCTCTAACTAGTTGTTTCCTATTCCTCAAGTAAGATTGGAATCAATTCAAAAAATACCACGAATTCCGTAGAAGTTTACTTTTTTTATCAAAATGTCGTGATTAATTAACGAAAGAAAATTAACAAAACAAAGACGAAAATTAACGAAATAAAGACGAAAATTAACGAAATAAAGACGAAAAAACTTTGGTCAATGGGAGAGTCATTTTGAAAAGGTTTTG